GGAAAGAATAAACCAGTTTTATTAAGTAAAGACTTGTGTCGTTAAAATTTCCTCGGAACGAAGTTACGAAAAAATCAATTAACAAACGGAGACGTAACAATATAATAATTTTCTACATGACTTTCAACTGAATTAACCTAATTATTTCTCATTCATATCACTTGATAATTTCAACTTCATATAGATTCTTAATTTTATGTGCTATAAGAATGATCTGGAGGTTGCTTATTTCATTTTATTTTTTGTAAAATAACGAATGATCTTAATTGTAACGCGAAAAATCTTACTTTAGTCCTACTTCCCCAGTCGTTGAAGGTGTGCTAATGCATGAATAATTTTAACTCAGAATCACTCCATCTCCCCAAAAATATGAAATTCGTGGATTTAATATATTGAAGGGCAGGTTTAGCAACCTTTTACCAGACAACTGAAAGGAAAAAAAAAACACGGTATGAAGTTGAAATGTATATGAAACATTATTACTGGAGAAATAACAATAAATTGGCTGATCATGCTAATTGTAGGATTGCTGCAGAATATTGAGGTTAAAATGTAAAATAAACAACGGATTTAAACTATATTTAAATAGAGAGACTAAATAAGTAATGATGTGTGCAACATTTGATTTCGTGAAGTTTCTTCCCATCTCAGGATACATTTCTGCATCATGCATTCCTGGGACACTTGTCTCCAGTTTGAGAACCATTGTGTTAAAGATAGGCAAACATTTAAATACTGATTGCAAGTTGCTACTTTTTAAGGTTATGAGATGGCTGAACTTTTAAATATTTTTTTTCCCTCATATTGTTCCCTATTTGCTTATCAGTAAGCCGGCGGCTTACAACTCTAAAAATCGGGTTTTGTTAGCCACGATGGCTTTGATCTTAATAGCAAACAAACAAGAAATCTCTGTTATTTTTATAATAGAAAATATTATCAATATATCTTCTCCTGTAAAAATAAAAGAGGAGAAAACATCTTAAAGCTCAACTATTTCAATAACATCGAATATTGTGTGGGAAATATTAAAACTGATCTGAATGGAGTAGATGTTAATCCATCTGAACACGTACATTCAATGTTTGATTTCAGTTTTTCAGTGTCTCTTTCAGACAGGTGAAACTTTCCCCATCCCCACTTGTTTACTGCCTTATATATAAAAATAAGAAATCTGAGAGCTTTTGAAAGGTAGACTTTATTTTCATTCTTGTAAATAAGTTCTTTATCTGCTTTTGAGTTGTTGTGAAACAGAATAATGAAATTTTTATGTACAATCTAAATAAATAAAGTTACAGTATTTATTATAGCTCGTAAAACCAAGATTATTTATTTAGACGTTTTCATTTTCTTTTATAATAATATTAGCACTAGCAGTCTTTTCGTTTGTAATCGAATACGTTTTTCGGCGGGAAAACAAACGTAAGAGAACTAAAGTTTTTGAATTAACCTGGTTTTATGAACGTTAGTTAACATAAAATGTAATTTAGGTGCAACAGTTCACATTTGAAGTTAAAAATACGAAAGACGGTTACAACTGAAGAAGTCTATGTAAATTAACAATAGTATTCTAACTCGAAAGTGAATAAAACGTCTTTCTACTTGAAGTGTGGGCTTAACGAGTAACGTTACTCGCCAGATGCTGTGTAAGTTGTGACTAATACTAATAGTGTAAACTAACCTGTAGCTCTCTTACTGAGAACTGCTAGTACTACATAATACCAGTGCCATTAATGAATTAGTATTAATATTAGTAAAAATATTTGCATTTGAAAGTTTCCTTTCATTGACTGATAACTGGAGTTAAAACTAACTTGTAGTATTACTAGTACTACAAGTAATGAATGATGTAGGAGGTCAGGTATATTCTGCACTGCCTAAGAAGTACTAATAGATGATGCTAGGAAAATTTGTAGGTTCAAAAAATCAATTAACAACAAAAATGTAAAATCCTGTAACCAAAGAGCTTTTGAAAGTTGGGCTTTTCTTTGTCAGAGCTAGAAAGGTCAATCCTTCAAAAGCACTCATGCTACAGGGTTTCATATTTTTGTCTTTAATTTTAAGTGGTATTAATAAGTACTTTAACTTATGATATAGACTAAGCAAGTAAGCTTTTGTAAGGTTAAATTGTATAATATATTAATATAACTTGGCTGCAAAATGATTCTATTTTGAACTACAGACACAGAAAAGCTTCTAATTAAGTTTAGGCTAAAACTAGTTTTAAGTAATAGGCCTTAATGGTTACTGTTAGCTGCCAATGTCAAATTATTTTTAAGTAAGCAAGTACAATGTGTAATAGATTCTTTATAGTTTAAAGTATTGTTTGTTTGTAATGATAATTATGTACTGTATGAAGGTAAATACAGTGTCACACAAAAAAATACATTATTGAGGTTATAGTCTCAAGAATAAGTAAAGGGCCTTACAGGAAAAAATGTTACCTATGTGTCATACAGCCTTTAGGAATTCCTTGCAAAAAGCCATATGATTCTTGGAACTATTTTGACCAGGACTTTTTAAATAAAAAAACTAAATCTCCAAATCAAACTCAAATACAAAACAAGCAATGTTTTAATACAAAAAAGAAATTCACAAAATAAAGACAGCAATAATAATAATGAATTAAGGAAAAAAGAACCAGAAAAAGAAAAACCTTTTGTAAGCTTATTTTGCATGCCAAAAAAGGAAAGTTGAATTCCAAATACAAGATCAAATGAGTACTTACAGTAATATCTTTTAATTAATAAGTAAAATATCAGGTATCACAGTTTCACAAATCTCAAACCTAACACATCTCTTTCATCCTAGTTGGTCTAACTTTGATTCTTAGGGATTTTTAGTGTCTTGCCAAACCATGAGATTAGATTTGACATAACTGATTATTTAACATTTATTTTACATAATTAGTCATGAACTTAGTATCCATATGCAACCACTAAGGGAACCTTGTGTTTGGTTTCTTAATGTAAAAGTTACTTGTTTTATTAATATTTAATGTTTATAGTGAGGCAGGTGAGCTAGTATTCTAGGAAAAAACTAGAGCTGCTCAAACTGATAGAAGGAAAAAATTTTAAACAATAAAAAAACAAGTCATAACTAGAAAAATAAAATCAGAAATTGCTACCTCACAAACTTTGAGAATGCTTTTTAAAAGTCTGTCTGATTTTTAGAACTAGCTCTGGCAAATATGAATGACATTTACACATTTGATTGCTTTAATAGTCATGTATTAAAATTCAGACATACTTGAAAATAGGTTTTGACTCTATAGCTAACTCAAAATTCTTTTGAATAAGTTATATGTCTGAAGAACTTATTGGGAAGGATAACTATGTAGAAGCATGATTCTTATTTTTAGAATTAAGGGCTAAATCAGAGTAGCCATTTGCTCAATACTTATGCTCTAACCAGCCTTTTGATAATAAATTTGTATAATTGGAAATGTGAAGATTTGAATATTGGACAAGAAACAATGAGTATAAACTTTAACGACCTATATGAATTTTGTAATGCCACTCACACACACACACACACACACACACACAAAATTGTTCAACACTTTTGAGTCATTAGTGCATTGTAAGAGTGATGGTCAAATCCCACTATTTTCTCAGACAACATTAGCCTGAGAGTTGGCAGTAGATGGCATTGAATAGTTGCTTTCCTTCTAGTCTATTGCTGGAAAATTAGGAATGGCTAGTACATATAGCCCTTGTGTAGCTTTGTGTGAAACTTGACAAAAGAAACAATGAATTCCTTAATTTGTACTGATTTCTTGAAATTTTTAAAGGTTCAATTACTGTTCTTGATCAAAATCTTGTTTAAATAGTTGACTAGAACTATATCCTATTTGTGAGCTTTGTCTCTTATGTCAGATGCGTGTTTTATAGTGACATGAGTGGAGTAACAAATGGGGGTGGAAAGTTTCTCCAAACTTTAGCCAAAGTTGGCTTTCCTGGAACAAAAGACCTGGATGGTTCCAGCTTTGATTGGATGTTTGAAGCTAAGCCTTTAATTCCATTCCTTGACTGGTTCTGTGACAGTGTTGATACAGCAAATGTGTTGACACAGGAAGAGCTCCAACAGTATGTATTAATAAATCTCAATAATTAATTAGATGTATATCCATATATGCTAATATTTTTCTTAGCAATCAGGGCATTTTTGGAAATTAAAATTTTTAGGTACTTTTCCATTATACCCCCTACAATATTAATAACTTTTCTGTTGTACCCCTGCAATTTGAATAACTTTTAAAATATATATATTAATATGTGAATATGTATTTTATTCATATAGTAAATGCTAATGATACATTTCTAAAAATATATTAATAACCACTGTATTCATATAGTAAAACTTAACATTTGTGGGGGTATAATGGAAAAGTACCCATTTTTGAAAATTTTATTTAAATTCTTAGAATCCAGTGATGTATGTAGGGACTAATATTTGTGCATGATAATATGTAGTTTTAAAAGGTTTATACCATTATTTTATGGATTACGTGCAAAGTCCAAAAATTATTTATCTTGTTTGGCTGTAACATTACTTTGAGGGCTAGTTACAATGACAGGGTTGAATTGCAATAAAATTTAAGACATTTTAGTTTACCTGAAACAATCTTTGATAATTTTGCATTGTGTGGTGTGGCTTCATAGCTTGTGTGCAGGTATATTTAGTCAATGTGGATACAGTCAGTGGAATCTAAATATGTAATTAATAATATATTTACATTAGTATTTAAATGTTAAAACAGCAAGATAAGTAGTAAATTAATATTTTTATTCTTTTTTTTTAACACGTCCCTCAGGAGTCAAGGGGTGTCTTTACACTACAATGTCTTGAATATTAAAATTAAGTTCAATCCATAAACTCCCAAAGAGGGTGGTTTTGGACGTATCTTTTCGAGACAAGTTTTTGTTTGTTAATTGATAATTTTTTTAAGTGAAATACAGCATCCTCAAGTCTCCATAGTAGTTAGTACTAAGTTCTACCTGCTGGGAGTAAATCCAGTATATATCAATAAAGCCACATTCTCAGCATCATTAATTAAGCAATTGCCAACCTTTTATGCTTTTGCTATTACCTTTTTATGATTAGCTTTCACTTGAGATATGAACAATTTCACCTCCAATTCGGTAGGGAAGGTCAAAGCATCACGATAGTTAGCAATTGGGTGAGCAGACAGGAACACTTTGAAAGTAGCTACAGGCATAATGTTGTATTCGGCTTGCTGCACAATATCTACCAAGGTGGTTCTAAATGGTTCCAGAATACCTTTGTATGTCATTTGGAGACTTCCATGCTTCTTGTGCATGTCCGTTAAGCTTGTGATGCACTGATGGACTTCAGTCATCTTACCACTTCAAATCATTTTTGGCAGCCCCAACACTAAAAGAGTGTGGGAAATGCCTTCTTTTTAGCCAATAAAAATGTCCAAAAAATTTCAGTTCAAATTACAAAAAATTGGAATGGGTAGTTTTTTTTTTCAATAATAATGTCCTCCCACTGGCTTGTGAGGGGCCTGTTAAAGAAAGTTTGTTAATATGTGTTTAATTAAATTTTGGTTTAATGTATTGTTTTAGATTCGAAGAGTTAAAATCCTGTGGATCGGTTTTGAAGGGAGAAGTACTAGAAAAAGCATTACAATGTTTGACATTTGAGTCTCAGTCTGTACCACTGGATGTTTTGAGGTGAAGTCACTTTGAAAAAATTGTATTGCCTAATATTTTAGATTCTTAGATTTAGTTCATAAGAAAGAATTAAAACAATTCAGGTCATTAAATAGTTAGTTTTTAAAATATATAAATTTTTCCGGGGATAAACTAATAAATGTAAAAGAATTAGAGCACCAAAACAGACAGTTTTTGAGCTCTAGTATTTGGATACACCCACCCACATTTACATTTTTCTGCAACTCTTTATTATTTATATAATTTTTCAAAGTACCTAAAATGAATATTTGGTGTATCCAGTTATCAGTCTTTTTTCAGAACCCTGCATGTTATACAGCAGGTTACCTATCGTGAATGTTACCACATTCAGTACTTATTTTTAGCCACAGCTAAGTGTCTCAAAGAATGGCTCCGAGATGTTTTTTTCTTCAAGTACAAACTTTTAGCTCCTAGCTCCATGATCTTTCGACCGATTTGAGATCTAATTACAGTTTTGGACTCAGAAGGTCAAATCCTTTCAATTGACATATTTGACCACACCCAAGGTCTCATAGATTAATTTATTCTAATCCTGCCTTAAATAATTTCAATTTGAGGGTAGGCTGGTAGAGATGGCTTTCATAAAAACAAATGATGGAAGTGGTGAATGTGGCATATTTTAATCATCAACCAAAGTATTTATTATCCTTTTCAACCAGTTTCTATTTCAAATTATATTCAAACACAACATACAGGCAACAAGGGATCATTTGGTCCTTCAAGACAGTCCCTGCACACCAGCCTTTGAGAAAAAGTAAAAACTTAAACTCTCCATTTATTTTCAGGAAATTATCGATTTCCTTTTTAAATTCTTGTAAAGTGCCGATCTCTATTACTGTTGATGGAAACTCGTTTCATAAGCCAATCACTCTGTTAGAAAAATAAAATTGTCTTAACTAGGCAATTAATATAATTTGCTAACCGATTAATCATTGGGTTCCTTAATTGATTACATTTAACTCATTGATTATTTTCGCTTGAGACTTGGATAGTTCATATAATCAAAATTGATCACTTTTCTCAAAATTTTCCCGATTCTTTATATCTTGCAATGTATCCTCATTAGGGGTTAACAATAAATCTTAAATTTCATTCCCTCTGATTGGCTCACTGATCATTTGGTATTGGAAATCATTCTGATTCATCATCAAATAACTTATAACTCGGAATTTCAAAATAATTCCTGTTGTCAGTATATTTTCCAGATCTAACAAAGTCTGAGTAATTCCCATTATATCACAGTCTTCTATTTTGACTTAAGCTCTGAAGTCATTTATTTTGTTCTTGATACTCCTAACACTGGAATAATAGCATACAAGGTTATCTTTAAATCTAACAGAGGTACCTTTAAAGTTAATATATATGTTTCCATCATCAGACCAAACCTAATATTTATTCCCTCTCTACTGTTAAGTAATTCATTCCCACATCTAGTCGAAGGGAGTAATAACTAACTCTCTCTCTCTATATATATATATATATATTGTATGTATGTATAAACCATCACAAAATCATTTATATGAATAATTTATTGCTGACTTCTACTTTTTACTTCTTTATGAGGGTGACAGTCTTCATACATTGTCAAAAATAATTGTACCTAGGGGTAGATTCAAGGGGTGTTTTCTATAATTAAGAGCCAATTACTCTTGCTATAGTGATAAAACTTTGCTGTGAATATATTGTTTTAACTAACTTTACTTACAAAGCTCTTCTATTCCATGTCAGTCATTATAGATACAAAAATAAATGGATAACAATTCTAGTATATGTAGTGTACTACTGAAACAAATACCTATTCACACATATTAGCTTTCTTCCTTATGTTTGTGCTTTTTGCCAAACAGATTTGAAAGCGATCAACCTTGTGAAAACTCCCACCTACTTTCGTGTAAAACCATGTGAGTTTGAACACTGCATGATGACGTCATCATGCAGCAGAACCCTCCACCAATATGAGTGCATTAACTTCCCATAGATTTCATGCTCGTGAATCCTCATTCTTTTCCTCGTCATTGTTCAACTTATCTCAAGTCCTGAACCTTTACATCTTTCTCTGGGACTTTTGTCTTGCCCCATTTCTTCATCTGGATATTTTTGGTGATGCCCCTGGTTTCTTGGTATCATGGGCTGAAGCAGCTTACCACCAATTTTCCCTATCTTTTGTAGTTTCCCATTTGTCCCAACCTCACCCTTCCACCTCTTTACCTTGCCCTGGCCCTTCTTCTACTCTTTGTTCTATTCCTGTGTCCAGGATGTCCATCTCTTCCCTTCCTACTTCCATCTGATGTTTTATTTGTCAACCCAATTGCCAATAACCAACTGGTTGGTTTGAGACCTATGGGAGCCCATCTGTCACATTTTGATTGGAGAAACGAGTCATTAAGAGGGTTCATGACCCTTCTCCTGGTTTTTCTTCTACCTTTTTGTTTTCACAAAAAGATCTGGGAACAGATTTCTGATTATCAACTTTTCTTCCCACAAATGTTTCTTGATTGTCCACATTTTTGGATGAAGAATTATTTTCACTCTCCACTGGTCATTTCAACCCATGTCTGTGGATGACCAACTTTGATGTTTTGGATGCTTTACTCTGCATTGTAATTGCTCTGTTCTCATGACATTTTTTTTCTATTTGCCTATCAGGATTGCATATTCCAATTCCATGCTCTTCTGTTTGGAATAGCATTGGCCCCCTATACTTTCAATCACATAATGTGGGTCTTTGCTCCACATATTCACAGTCTATATCTGTGATTCCATTTCTGTATAGACAACTGGCTTCTCCTCATCCATTCCCAGGCAGTATTCTCCTAACACACTTCCCTTTTTCTTGAAGCCATTTATTTGGGGTTGCTCATCAAGGTTTCCAAATCCCTCATCACATTTACCTGGGAATTCTGTTTGACTCTTGACTCAGCCGTGCCCAACCTTTGTTCATTTGCCATTGAGATCTTGATTGTTTAGTCAACAAGATTTATACCTCGCATGCATTCACATTCTGTTAAAGAGGTCCTCTTTCTTTTGGAGACCACGGTTTCTTTGGAACTTCTCATTCACTTGGACATGCACATATGTGTCCTTTACAGTTGATGTTATGCAACCAATGGAACCTTTCCAGGGATCTGCTATCCTCGCCAATCCATCTCCTATCTTCTTTACTGGAAGATCTTGTATGGTTGCTAGACCACTCTAATAGTACCTCTGGCATTCCCTTACCTCCTCTCAAACTGGACATTCACCTATTTATGAATGGTTCTGTCAGGATGGGGAATGTCTCTGAATGATAGTCTATCTTTGGGATCCTGGTCCTTGGAGGAGTGTTCTCTGAATATCAACACCCTTGAACTGCATGTCACGTATCAACTACCAGGGGGCACACACTCCAGGACCACTTGCTTTCAAACATTGGACCCCTTCTTTTGGGCCCAATCCAATTGGGTACAACTAATAGCCTGTCATGTTCTGGGTGCACTGAACATTGTTGTGAACTGTATTTCCAGACAAGACCATGTCCTGCCAACAGAATGGTCCCCTCCACCCACAAGCCTTCCATTGGATCTATTCCCAGCTTGGAACTCCCTTGATAAATACCTTCTCCACATTCTTTAATGTCAAACTTCCTGTCCTCTGGTTTCTCACATCTTACCCCTGGTTGTCAATTCCCTCAGTCAGGACTGGCCCGATCTTTTCCTGTATCTTTATCTTCCTCTCTGCCTCATCCCTTTGGTCCTTGCTCTGATTTAGGACAACCCTAGCAGGTCCTTTTGGGTGGCTCCTCACTGGCCAACCCAACCTTGGTTTCTGTTACTCCATCTTCTCCCATCCAAGCCTTCACTTCCCCTTCCCAACATACTGTCCCTATTGATCCAACCCTATGTGTCACTCTTTCATCAAGGAGTGACATCTTTACATGTGGGATTTGTCCAGTCCATTGCACGTCGAGTCTGACTTTATTATTGTGTAGCTTTCCAATTGGCCCATTCTTGTCACCCTTTGTTCTCTTCAGTGTACCAATGTAACTGGTGTGCTAGTTGCTGTTGGTCTATCCATCATCCACCACCCCCCAACTGATATACCATGCAACATATTACCTCCTCCTTCCTGTGGCTTGTCCATCTTGGATTATTGGGCACCATTATATGCTACCTTCCTCCTTTCCTGATACCACAGGATATTTTCATTACATGTCCTTCTTCCCTCTTCTGTTCTTTCCTTATCCCCCCACTTTGACTGGGATCTGAATGTGGTCCCATCACACTCCTACCTGGGACCTTTTTGAACCTCTAGCAACCTGTTTGATGTGTCATCTCTTCCTGAAGACATATTTCCTCCTTCAGGTGTGTATGCCATAGATTTCTCTTGAACTCTCTTCCACTGCACTTACCTTCTCCTTTATCCTAATTGGTTCTTTGTTTCTAAGACTTCGGTAGCTAGGGAAGGTGATCACACTTTTACTCCCATATCCTTTCCATCTATATCCCATCTCTATGATTGTTCAGATCTGGATAGACTCATGTGTCCTATCCAGGCTGTTCACTATTTACCATGCACTCCGTTTTTTGAGGCTCCTGTCCCTATCTTTTCATACTGTGGGACCTCTACTCTACTAGAGATCTCTCTCTTTTACCACCCTTAAAGGATGGATACACCAGCTCATCCATCTGGTGTATGCCTCTTTGGGGCTAAATGATCATAGGCTCTTTTGTGTCTCTTCTCATCAGGTTTGTCACCCCACACCTTCTCTGGATGCTCATTTTCACCATCCATTAGATGAGATTATTCAGGCTGGCATGTGGACTATCCCACACACCTTCATTGCCCACTATCTGCATCACTTGGCTATCTCACCTCCAGAGGGATTTAAACTTCTGCCTATAGCCATTCTCTAATCCATTTTTTTTTCTCTGTAAACAGCTGAGTATACAGATTTCTTCTCTCACCTGACATTTACTGCAGGACCCACTAGGTGGCTAGTGTTGCATCCTAGTGTATACTTACCCAAAATATGTATTGAGTCAGGATAACTGAAAGTGCTCATACCATCTGTCCTAGCTCTGCATGTACGCACTGTAAGATGGGGTGTTCGCAAGCTCACTTGAGGTTTCCTTATGGTATTTCTATATATATAAGTGGGGCTGTGGTGACACTAAGAGTGTAATGCGGATCACTCCACAGAATATATATATATGCTACATCTCACTTCACAATTCCCAATTGGATCAATTGCACAACTCACAATTCCAATCCTTTTAATACCCTTATCTTACAACTCCTCCTGCAGCCAAGACTTGTTCAGTAGAATTGAGTTAAACATTTCCTGGTTTATACAACACCATAAACATACCTCACCCCTGCAACTACCATAGAGACTGTATCTATACTGTTCCACAAAATACAGTGCACTCATCCCACAGCTGGCAAGAGCTCATAGAGACTGATGGTTGAGGAGAGGTGACTATACTGGACACACAAGTGATGAATCTCTCACATACCCCCTCCCACAGCTGGAAAGGGGCCTTTAGAGACTGACGGTCAAATAGAGGTATATTTAATTATTCATACCTAAATGAATACATACAGTGCACTCCTTCCATAGCTGGCAAGAGCCCATAGAGACTGATGGTTGAGTAGAGATGACTATACTGGACACACGAGTGATGTATCTCTAACATACCTCACTCCCACAGTTGGAAAGGGGCCTGTAGAGACTGATGGTAGAGGAAGTGAACATGGAGGGTTATCACAAGTCCCCTTCTCTGATAACTGGTTTTGACCTGTCTACGTCTGATGGTAGAGGAGTACACAAGATATGGTCTGAACAAGCTCCAACCTCACTACAGGTATTGGCTGTCCAACAGCTAGTGTGTGAGTATGTGGATGGCCATGTACATATTTGCTCATTTTTGCTACACAATTATGGCTTCTTTACCTCTTTTTATTCTCCTGTCTGGGCAAAGAGTATACCCTGGAGGAGATGAAATGCGGTCTCCCATGGGTGTGCCTCTGCCATTGAGTGTCATATGGGCTTTCTAATGTTGCTCACCTAGATAAGGTTTTGCACCAGTCTTTCCACAATTTGAATGTGGTATTCTAGCTAATCAATATGAAAAGGTGAACCTTCATTTCGGGAATTAACATTTTCTTTAACTGAAAATATATTTTCAATAGATACCTCTTTACACATTTCCTCCCATCCTACCTACTTTCCAATGCATATTTCTTCATTGCCTCATCAAAGAATGAAGGTGCATGAGCGTGAAACCTGTGGGAAGTAATTGTGCATGGAGGTGTATCACACTGCCATTGGTAGAGGGTTCTGCTGAATGATGTCATCATGATGCAGTGGGAGTTTCCACAAGGCTGGTGTCTTGCAAATCTCTGTGGCAGAACGAGTAATCACATAAAGAAGAAAGCTAATCTTTGTGAAAGGTATCTATCAGAAATACATTTTCAGGTAAGAAAAATGCTTAGTTTATAAATAGTTGTGAATTATTTGCACACTAAATCTATAAGAAAAGTTTCTATATAATTGTTTTCGTATGCAAAATTTTCAAGGTAAAAGTATGTTTACAGTGAGCAATTTATTTCATAATTCCCCTCCCTCCCCAATGCTGACAATGTATTATCATAGAATTTGAATTAGTTTTACTTTCTGTATAAACAATAAACAATGACTGTGACATTTTTTAATAAAACAGGGAAGAAGTATCTTTGCTCAGAGCCGAACTGTCATCAGTTGAAGCCAGAGTTAACGAGCTTACACATCAGAGAGATGTTTTAAGGTAATTTGAATTTTAAAATTTAATTTATCCATGTTTATTTTATAGTCTTGATTCTTCTCAATATTAAGCAAGTTTTACAACACTTGTAAACTGATACCTTCATACCTGGAGCATTTTTTTCTTTACACAGCAAATTGAGAGATTATATATATATAATTTAAGTATTAATAGATTATTGCACAATTGGTGTTTTTGTTCTTTTGAGTGAAGTATTTAAGTATAAGCATGTTTCATGATTTCTAATGAGTTTGTATAAACTAACATTATATTTTAACAACATTATTAACTTATGATTTTGGATCATATATTTGTTATAGATATTTTTTTAATATTTTAGCATTCAACTTAGTCAAGACAACCATCGTGGACTATTGATGGAAGATCTCATTAGAGATCTGCAACATGACTTGTGCAAACAGCAGGAACAGTTTGTTTCGGTCAGCAAAGAGGTGTGTTCATCAATTTTTACATATCTTTGGTCCACTTGTCTAAGACTTGATGCATTTTACGTTCTTGTATGTTAGTTTTATTCACAACAATCTGTTATGAGTATTGAAAACTTACTGCAGTTTTCTGTTCAAACAAAAACAGCTGAGTAGTAACCTAGTATATAAAAAAAAACAATCAGTATCTTCATGACATGAATTATTTTGTTTCTGCTTATCAGTTTAGTTGAATGTATTATTGTCATTTTTGATTCATTTTACTACTTGCTTCTTAGTGTAGACATTTAATGCCTTTTGTGAATTTACAAATGTGTCAGTAGAAATACACTTTGAAAGTGTATGAAACTGATCTCTGGCTATTACAAATTAATGCACAAATTAAATTGATAACTTCTAAAACAGCTTCCAGTATAAACCAAGTTAGGCAGATTCCAAAGTTAAGAGAGATTTAAGATTGATTATGAAAATCTATTTGTGATCAACATGTTTGATTTTTGTTTGTTCAAATAATTGTTGTATATTTAAAATTTAATAGTTATGTGTCCAACTTAGTTAATGTACAAACAGTGAAATTAAAGCTGTTTTAGTGAGAATTACACCATACTGGTGTTTGTAAACGTATCATTTGAGTTTTTTTTTTTTAAATTAAACTATCAGTCACTATTTAATTCATTTAATTAGAAACATTAGGTTTCTTCAATGTCATCTATTTTGTGTACTTGTGTGCTACATTATAAGAATTCTTTTTTGGAAAATTTCTTTGTTTAAAACTATTTGTGAAAAAAAATCGTTAAGGAAGAAAGCTAACATTTAGCTATTTTTGTAATAAATAAAGACATAAAAAATTACATAACAAATATGTATTGCACATAAAGTTGTTATATATTTATAATGTGGTATGGTCCAATAGTAATGGTCTGGCATGGCCAGGTGGTTAGGGAGCTTGACTCCCAATTTTTTGGGTTGTGGGTTCGAATCCCTGTCCCACCAAGCATGCTCGCCTTTTCAGGGCATTATAATATGATGGTGAATCTTGCTATTTGTTGGTAAAAGAGTAACCCAAGAGTTGGCATTGGGTGGTGATGACTAGCTGCCTTCTCTCTAGTCTTTCACTGCTAAATTAGGGACAGTTAGTACAGATAGCCTTATTGTAGCTTTGCAGGAAATTCAAAACAAAAGTAATAGGACTATAAAACTTATAGAAGAAATTTATGTTCCTGCAGCAGTTTTAAACCTAGATAATATATTTTAAAGAAAAAATAAATTAGGATGAAATAGATCAATTTAGGGAGATTTATTTCACTGGTGGATATCGCTACTTCTGTTGTGTATTAGGTTAACAAACATACATTATGTTAATTATGCATCAGAGTTCTATTGTGTTTGCACCAACAAGTATTTTGTTAATATACTTACGCTGATTTCAGTTCATGGTGAGGACTCGTAAGTAAAATTCTTACTTTTTAACAGGTATCATCAAGCATACATTCAACTGTTGATCCACTTGAAGGACTTACTAGGTTCTACACACAGGAAACAAAACGGTGGAAAGAACCAGATAGTTGTAATCATTCCTCTGTTCCTGGTTCTTTCTTCACATCTTTAGACCTCAATTCTTACCATGAAACAGAAGAACATTTCCTCGACCAGCTAAGGTCTTACATAAAAAAGCAGTTTTGTCAGGTGAGGTGAAAGATTTCTTGCTTAACTTTAAACGTTTCAAGTCAGTTTTCCTAGAATGAAGTTCGTCTGTCAAGGCTGTAATGAAATTAAAGTTTTTAAGGAATGATAGCTTTTAGTTGAATGGTAATCGAGAACCACTTTTTCATAAAAAATTAGGGCTATTAATGTGAATGTATTTGAAATTGCTTTGAATCTGTATTGTAATGTGTAAAATTATATCATATGTTGATTCTAAAGAAGTGTAAAATAGGAATTCTCAGATTTTATGTATGGGCTGGTTTCTTTGCATTAGATGTCTGTGACTTGGTGATAAATTTCAACAATAACAAATAGCACACAATGCACTTGTTTTAAAATAATGTATTAAAATAAATCAAATGCATATACAATTGTTTGTTACACTGTTGACTATCAGAGTTATATCTAGAGCTATAAATAATTCTCTTTTCTGTCAAAGAACACACAGGCTTGTTAAATTACTTTAGAACACAATTGACAAGACAAATTTTTCTTCTCTACTCTGTTATTACAATACAATCTGTGATAATTTTGCTTTAAAAAAATTACCATTATAAGCTATTTATGGCTAAACTCACAATCACCTGGTCTAGACGTATATATCAAACAAAATTTGTGACACGAACTTATACCCTGATTGAGGTCTAGAATGTTCCACACACACACACACACTAGATATTATTATGCAATAACACTCAATTAACTCCCTCAACACTGGCTCAGTCAAATTGACCAACCATATGACCACTTTGTACTGTTATAGTTTCAGTACTACAAACTATTAATATAGTATTTGTTTCTTCATAAAATTTGGGAGACTTTCAGTAAACAGTACATGTATTTTACATACAAAAAATCTGATTTTTAGTGCAGTATTTTTAATAAAGATTTGGCTGTGGATATATCAAGTCTTTTTTTTTTATTTATTAGTCATTGTGCAAAGTGATTTTCATGTTAATGTTAAAAATACTTCATCTCAAAAACCTCAAACTTTTTTTATGTAATCTCTAAAGCCACCTAAATATGTTTCAAACGTTTTTTCAGTGAAACTATATTTTATCTGTTATTTTCTCTTCTCTAACTCTATACAAGATTAGTCAGTTTGACCGACCTCATAACCAGAAAATATATAAATAAACCTAAATTACCCTTTTTTCTTTCTAGAATGACTTCAAATTGTAACATGAAACTACATTTACTTATCTTAAGTAGCTTTACATTCATAATGGTATATATCTACTTAAACTTAAATTTTAGTGTTTTATTGCCCTTTGAACTGTGGCTAATGACTATTCATGCCATTATAAGTTGTAAATCACTTAGAGAACGTGCGGCTCATGCTACATTATCAAATTACATTACCCACAAGCTGCTCACGTGTGTGCCTTGTGAAAACTTTTTATTATATTAATATTATTTATTTTACCTAATCTAACCTTAACTAACATAAAGAGTTTCCTGTTTTTACAATTTAGTTACTTTTATAATAATAAAACACTTAACTGGGCCTTTTTTTTTTGCTGTCGACTATTGATGACACTTAAGCCTACCTTTTCTTTATACTAATGGTAGCAGTGCATTAAATAATGTTTAATTAATTAAATAAAGCACCAAATAACATAGAATAATAACATGCAAAAAGCAAACAATGTCCCATAATTATCACAACTTTCATGGCATTTTAACTAGGTGACAAGAGCTGGCACAAATTCATCTAAGCTAACTGATGTGTTTCCTGTGGAAACGAAGCTTGTACTGAAAGAGAAATTGACAATTCTCTGTACAGAAAACAATGTAATATATTACATCATTTGGTAGATGAAAATCTTGGCTTTCTCTTGGTTATAAATAATATTGTGTTAAATGTAACAGAAACAACTGACAAATCCTGAAAGAGAGGATGTGACAGGTGGGTGTGTCAAGAGGGGTCTGATTTTCTATTTGATGGCACTGTAACCAAACAAGATTGAAAGCTGTGAAATTTAGCTTTGTCCGAGCGATGATAATTTATAATGAGTAATTTATGTTAAAAATCATACTTATTGGAGGGGTGATGAATAAATTAGAGAAAAGGGGAAGCTTAGAGAAAAAAATGTCACATTTCTCACACAAGGGGAAATTCAGGATTTTTTAAATATTACCTTATAAAAGTAAGGACTTAAAACATATACTATTAAAATATGGATTATTAGCTACGATGTTATTCTATACTAATTGGTATAACATAAACAAAAAGTAGTTTTAATTAAATTTTTAATGTAAATCACTAAAAACCTTGTGACATGTGCAGTTAAGGATGCCTGTGGAGAGAGAGCTAGAACAATAAGGAAAACCCGGAAGGGTCTAGCAACATGATGCAATAATATTACCATCACCAGTTGATAACTAGTGAACTACACAATGTATGACTT